CACGCGCCCGAGTGGGGCTCGGGGCGCAGCATGAAGAGCGTTGTCTGCACCACGTGTCTGTGTGTCTGTGCAAGATGAGCATCGCGCATCAAATCACGCTTCTCTCCACAGTGGGCAGATGTCTTGTGTAACGCTCTCTCTCAAGAGTGGAATTGGCCAAACATCCCAATGCAAGACGATCGTCAAAATAAAGCCTTGAGACTCCCGTGAGGATTTCCCGGATAGTAATATCAGTGTTATCGTCACTGCCATTATGACATGTGGACAATGTAAAAATCGCATCGATTAAAATGTGTTTAACCGCACTATCGTGGCTACGACATTGATCAGCAGAAAGGAGCGCAGCAAAGTTCATTGTTGCACTAAACAAAGCTCAAATGTCCATGCTGCCCGCCTTCTCCAAATATCAGTGTCCAGACGCGGCGAGGCATGGCCACATATAACACACACCCCGCAGTATCAGATTGAAAGAAATGAACGAGCTGTGCATGCACCCTGCCCCCAGCTGCCACACAAACCGTGATGTTGAACAGCCTGCGCGGAGCGAGCGGAGAGCTGGGTTGGTGTGTGGATAACGTTGGCTCAAGGCAGATAGTCCCTTGGATGTGGCTTTGTCAGACCTGACTCCCACATGGGGTGGAGGCTCGTGCCCGTGCAGGATTGGCCTCTCCCAGGAAGACTCTGGCTGGCTTTGCCCGGGTCCTGTGCAATGTCTGCACAATCCACACTGCCGCTCTCAGACGAGTGGCGTGCAACCGCAGAGTGCATCGTCAGCGGATATTTGCATTCATTATCTCGCGTTTCAAGGGATGCTGCTGTTGCCGTGGTGCAACGGTCCAGAGGTTGTCAGATCGTTTGATCTCCTGCTGCGGAAGTTCAAACAATGGTGCCCAGTATCTTTACTTCCAGCGGGCTGCCTTTGTCCACCCAGGAGTGGGAATGGTCGTAGCACAGTTAGTCCACTGGTAGGGCACGCGTATGGTGGGGGTGACGGGTGGGGGACTCCCATCTCTTCCCAGATGTCCAGCCAGCGTGGTAGAGTAGGCCAAAGTACACTCTAAAGGGGCTGCTCGCTTGAGCTCTCGAGACCAAAAGTGGTGTGAGCAGGTCCAAGACTCGATTTAGGTGGCCCTTTTCTGCGTGAAGCAAACAGCTCCGTGCGTTTAAAGCCTTTATTTGTCCACACTTTAGGCAAAATTACCAAGCATGTATTCCCCTTAAATCCTTAATGAGCCAGCACTCTTGCCATTCGCGGTCATCAATCAATCAAGCCCCTTAGTTAAAGCCTTGCGAGGTCCCGTTGAGATGCATTAGCTCTTCCTCAAGCGTGGCTCTGGCTTGGCCACGTGGGACCAAGCCTTGGCTATTTTGACAGGTCATCTCATTGTTATTTTGCAAGTGTTATTTTGACCGCTGCCGCGAACGCATCACACAAGCGCCGCCATCGTTAACACGATCTCGCCAAGGTGAAATTATGCAATTCTGATAACGGTCCGCGCAACGAGCGTTCTCTACAGCAAACTAAGTGGCTTCTACGACAAATAAAAGCGAAATGAACTGCATTGGCAGTGATGCATACGCACAAATCATAGAAAAAGACTCACCACGAATACTCTCTTAGAAACATACACACGGGACCCAGGTGTCAGGAAATCGGCATTAAAGAGCAGTGTTAATGATGAATGTATTCAGTTAATGCATCGGTGCATTTGCGTCCGAGATTACGTATACCTAGGAGATGGAGCAATGTGCAGGTGCTGGGTGGATTATTGCATTGATGAACGGTAAGAGATGGCAACTGCTTGGGGAGAGGTCTCCATCCAGCAGTGGATTTATCGTGGCTGATGATAATTGTCATCACCACCACCACCATCAGTGCACTTGACTCACACGCAGTAAGAGGCGTGCATCTAAAGGGTTGAAATGTGTCGGTGCCTGTGGTGATGTTTTACACCCTACGGTCCAAATAAAATCCGCATTGCATCATTACAGTAATAGAAATGTCTGATTTATAGCGCTCACAATTCGTGCAGCGAGTTGCTAAGACGAGTTGGGTCACAGCGTTCTATCGATGGTGGGCATGGTTATCTCAGGTGGACCTCTCAATCGGTTTATTCCCACTCAGCTTGCCTTGTCCATCTTCTTTTCTCGGTTGCAGATCTGCCAGAGATTCGCCATAGTGGCTCCGGCCAATCAGTAGCTGCGAGCCGCGTGACGTTGGCATCGTGACGTCATCACTTTTCCTTTTGCAAAACTCCACGGAGGGGGGGGGGGCATGGCAGAGCTAAAGTTGTGGTGGGCATCACAATGGCTCAGAAATTACAAACTCCTGAAGACGAGTGGTACATTACTCCGCTTCTACGAGACCTTAAAGGGCCACACATCATCGTTGATGTTATAATGATCATAGTTGCAAGTTGTATTCTTACCATTCTCTTCTCCGCTTTGCTCCATCTCTCGATGTCTATCTGCTCGAACTATGTCCCTCTCTCCTCTGTGTAAGCTTTCCTATATCCCATTCCCACTGCTCTCATCATCTTTCACAATAGTCTAATTGCCACTCTGCTACTCCACAGCACCATAATTCTCTTCCTATTTAGGCCAGCATGCATGCCAGAACCCTGGCACCCTGCACAAGCGATCGCTGGCTACAACCTGGCACATGTAAGCCCAGGTCATGTCATGACATTTGTTTTCGTCTTCATTGCGCAAAAGCGGGCACGCGGCCTAGTTTAAATGGACCTGTGCCAACATGTGAATGGCTCCCAAGGGCTCTCGTTTGGTTATAAATAAAAAGTTGGTGTGTTTGTGAAATTACGTATGCATTTATGTATTCATCCATCACGTGGGGTTTCAGGCTGATCGAGAGCAAGGTGGTGCACAGCTTACTGGGAGTCCTGAATGAAAAAAAATGTCTTAATTTTTAGAGCTGATAGCACAACTAGATTAGCATTTCGACAAACAAGTATAAAAACACATTTTTAAGGTTTGAGATAGTTACAGTTTCAGGAGAATGCCATTGTAGTGACCTTGGTATAATTTATGATTATTTACATAATTTACACCCCTTTACATATCCTTGACTGGATGAAGGTCTCTTCATAGTTTGTTGACACAGTGGTTGTTTGACAATACTTCATCACCCCGGTCAGTTGGGGTTGGTGCAGGAGGGGGGGGCCCAGGACGAGTCAAGGCATCACTCACCACTGATGTCAGCGAGGGCTGGAATTCAAACTCGGGTCGCAGGGTTCATGGTACAATGCGTGAGCCAGTCACTGCTCCCACTCGCAATGATTACTAAGTTACCTTAAGGTGCTGGGATTCATAACGTTTCTTTAAACAAATAAAACATTATAACTGCTGCATGTACATGTGTAATGCAATCTAAATGCCATAGCCCTATTTCTGTACATTCAGGCCAAGGAGGCGCTGGCTATTTTCGAGCTGGAAATGATGACGAAACTCCACCGTCATCACCCACCACTGACGATGACGCCACTCCATTTGGCAGAGCAGGTCGCTTTCCTTACATCTGGCATGTCAAGCGTACGATGAAAAGTGTGACCCAGAAACCTCCTTTTCCAAATGGCCGAATGTGATATCCCAGTTCCCAAGTACGTCATATTTCATGAACAGCGACTCTGGGTGCTAACATTCGTTGAAACCAAAGGTCACACTGTCCACTTAAAGGACAATGTAGCAGCACTCGTCTCCAATGGTGGCAACGAGATGGTGGAAATTCCACATTGCCATGGTGGGAGCCAGACCATCTCAATGCCAACCAGTTAAAATGTACTCATTTAATAAATCGCAGATGGCTGATAGGCCAAGTTGATTTAAACTCGCAACATTTCCCAATTGCCAGACAAATGCATTTACCACACCAGAAGGCAACAGATCTCTGGAACCGACACAAAGGCACTTACACAAGTAGCTTGAACAGACTTCATTATTTATTCCAATATTTATTCACTTTACACAAAAAACGAGCGTACAGGCATGTCCAGAATATAGCACAACATAGGACTAATATTTAGGACACCCTTGCAGGGGGTAGAGACAAACATTATGCTTCAACCTTTTAACAAGGGGTGGGCAAACCTTGAGTTTTCGACCAGAGGTAGGGGGCTCCACTGTTTGAGGCCACAGACAGTACATTGATATTTTTTTTTGTTAAAGTTAGGCAACTGCTTCCAGAACCATGAGACCACTTTACTTTCTGAATACAACTCCCGAAAAAGGCGATTTAGGTGCAAGGACACTCACTCTCCCGTGTGGCCACGCAAGCACGTGCCACCAACGTGATCATGGCCTGCTGGATGTGTGCTGCGTGCGCGCACGTGCCGTCACACGTAAGGCTGTAACCAGGTTGTGGGGACATCACAGCATATCGGCACGTGCACATGTGAGTGCTGCTCAACAAAGGCGACGCGTCGCTAGAACTTGCCACGGACGGCATACATAATATTCAAAGTAAGCTTCGGCACAACTTAGGCAACCGAGGCCTGAGACGCAAGAGAGAGAGAGAGATAGACAGAGACACCCGAATATAAATTCGCATGCAAAGGGTTGTTTTTTTGTTTGTTAGAACCTACATCACACCACTGCCTATTGTAATTATTAAACTTGCGTCGTTACAAAATAAATCCATCCATCGCAACCAGAGGCGTGCATTCGCCTTTGAGGACCGGATACAATCTACCACATTCAAAAAGTGGGTGGCAGGGCGAGTTGAGGCAAAACGTGGATCTCGAACTTGCCTGCCCAGGACTCTGACCCAGTGTGACGGGGGAGGCGAGGCGGCCAAGGCGACGGGAATTTTTTTTTATAATTGCATAGCGCCCTGTATTCAATGGTGAGAGAGGGGGGTAAAAAAAAGCCCCACTTTTGGACCAACCTAAAGCAGAACTCGTAACGTCATCTCGCCAAGCTAAGGGGCGCTCATATGCAAACATGCAGTTAAGAAAAAATAATGAACCCTCATAGACATGCGAGCAAAGTGAGGTCCAGCCGTTTTTTTTATTCGCTCAGAAATAAATTATCTACAAACGGAGCAGTCAGCCGACTGCGCATTTGCGCATCGCAGGAACACGCGCACACACAACGAAAACCGAAATTGAATTTTTTTTCGTAAAAAAAATGTTTGTACAAGAGTGCTCGTCTAAGAAAGTACAATACAGTGTTAACATATTGCACAAAGTTGCGACTATAATGGTGAAAGCGAGGAGCGCGCACACACACACACGGGGTACACTGGACTGCGCATTAAATACAGCGACACACGAACGGGGGGACACCGATCATACAAAGCCGCGTTCTGTACAGTGGCGTTAAATCGTCATATTACAGTCCTTTACAAAAACAAAACGACAAGTAATATAAAAACATAAATCAGTACACGTTAAATAATCATTTCAGTAGGCAAAAATAGGAATACACATACGTCTGCTGTGAGCGACTCCGTCCATTGATGGGGGAGGCGACTTGAAATGTGCCATTTGATTCAGGGCATTTGACGGTTTTCCGTAACACGCAATTACAAATCGCACACGCGGAGTAAGAAAACGATTTGTATCGATTAAAAACAAACCAAGTGACTACCACGGTCAGGAATGGCCAAAGTACTCGACTGTTGAGTTGTAAAGGCATCGTGTCTAGCCCTTACAGAGTATGAAATACCAGAGTTATAGATTGTTTTTGTTTTAGAGCATGGATTTTTGTAAAACTACCAGTCACAAACGGCCAATGGTATAACAAACATCCTTACAAAAAAGCCTACCACCCACCACTCCACCAGCTTCTAACACGGTTATTTATACCTAGCCCAAAGACGACTACAAAAAAGCTAGTTTAGTCGATGGGACAATCATCGACCTCTAAAAACAGTCCGCGATTTCTCAAAAGGTCCTGTTCATACGGCGAATGTGGTTGAGGTTTGGTCCTGAAATAGTTTAACTATAATAGACGGCGCCTTGCTGGGATCTTGACTTATTATTATTCACTTGTAAAAACTGTCCCAGCGTTGGCTCCATCTAATGGCTCCTGAGAGTTTAATGTTTCGGGGAAGAGGGGGGAAGAGAAAGGGGGGGGGGGGGAAGAAAGGGGGATGGGAATAAAAGGGGGGTACACTCATCAAGGGTCTGGGAATGATGGGGTGCTGAGCGGGGATGGATGGGAGGCTGGTGTATGCTTTGGGGGGGGGGGGGGTGACAGTCCCTTCTCTGGAGGAGGAGGGCGAGTGGAGGAGGGGGGGTAAGAAGACCTGGAGGGTGTGGGGGGGTAAGGGGTGACCCTGGAGAAGCTGCCGGCTCCTGGGAGAACCCACTGCCGCAACTCCCCATCAGGCGGGACCCTGGCTGGCCAGCAGTAAGGCGAGAACACAGTTCTAGCGAGAGACGGCATCGCTGCGAGGGCATGGGCACAGAGCGCCTCTCCTCCACGCCGCACTCGAGTGAGTCCACGTGCAGTGCACCAGCCTCATCCTCCTGCTCCAACCTCGCGCGCTCTGCTCCTCAGACTTATCCTCTTATACTCCGCTATGCCGCCACCACCACCACCCTCCTCCTCTGCTGCGCGCCTTGCTCGCTAGGTGTATGTTCACACAGCTACCTTGCTCGCAGCTTGGCTCTCCATAGCTTCTGCTGCTGTTGCTGGTGCTGCTGGTACTGCTGGTGATGACAGAGCTGCTGCTGCTGCTGATCCTTCCCCCACCACCTTTCAGCAGGTGAACACGAGGTTGGCGATGCTCGACTCCATCCACTCCCCGGAGATCATCTCGCTCACCTCGGGCGTGCAGTAGTCTGGGAACTCGAAGTGGGAGCCCGCGCCCGAGCTGCCCGTGCTCAGCGCGTCCGCCTCGCGGTCGAGCGCGCCGAGGCTGCCCAGGATGAGGTCCACGCTGGACGGGGAGGCGGGCGACGAGCCCAGCTCCAGCTCCAGGTCGAACATGTCGTCCTCGTCGCTGGAGCAAGACGAAGACGACACCGTGGAGGTGGACAGGGACCTCGACGAGGACGACGACGTGGTGGATAAAGGCGGAGAGGTGACCCTCTTGATGGCTGAACTCAAGTTGCTGACGCTGCTGCTGCTGCCGCTGCTGCTGCTGCTGGCGGCACCCTCTGGGACTCCACACTCCTCGTAGAAGCTGAGGCGATCCACAGCCTCGCCGGGGATGCTGAGGGTCGGGCTCGAGGGCACGGAGGCGCCTGCGGCTGCGGCATGAGACGAGGAGCAGGAGGCGGCTGAGGAGGAGGCGGCGGCGGCCGCCTTGCCCCGCTCGCCCGCCGCGCCCTTGGAGCTCCGCTTGGCCGCCCTCGCCCTGCTGCTGCTGCTGCCGCCCCCAGCCGCCTCCTTCAGCAGCAGCAGCGAGGAGCCCATCTTTGGCTGCTGCTGCTGCTGCAGCTGCAGCGCCTTCACCTTGCCGCTGCTCTTCTTGCTGCTGGAGCTCCTGCCCGCGGCGGTGCCGCCCTTGGGGCTGCCTTGCTGCTGCTGCTGCTGGGCGAGCTTGGCTTTCTTGCGCGGCCGGTACTTGTAGTCGGGGTAGTCGGCCATGTGCTTGAGGCGCAGGCGCTCCGCCTCCCGGATGAAGGGCACCTTCTCGCTCTCCTTGAGCTGCTTCCAGCGGCGGCCCAGCCGCTTGGAGATCTCCGCGTTGTGCATGTCGGGCGACTGCTCCATGATCTTGCGCCGCTCGATCTGCGACCACACCATGAAGGCGTTCATCGGCCGCTTGATGTGCCCGCTCGCCGTCTTGCACCACCCGGGGCCCGGCGCCCCGCTCTCCGTCCCGAGGACCCCCACCAGCGGCCCCGGGGCCACGGAGCCGGGGTCCGAGCCCTCGGCTTCGGAGTCGGAGCGCGAAGCCGCCGCATGCTGCTCGGGGCGATCCACGATGCTCCGGCCGCCCGCCTGCTGCACCATGGCCGTCCTGCGCGAGTTCCACGCGCCTCTCGCTCGCCCCGCCGTCGCCCCTGCGTTTGACTCGGCGAGTTGTCTCCCCCCACCCCCTGCGTGGGTCGTGGCTGCCCGAGCGAGTTGCTGGCGATATTCTAGTTGTGGGGGGTGGGGCCGGGCCGGTGTGGCCGGAGGGGGCTGCTCTCGCGCGGGGGCCGCCGCTCGGGCAGTGCGGGGTGCGAGGCCGCGCTCCGCGGTTTGAATCCGCCTCCCTCCGGCCGCTCCCTTATATAGCGGCGGGCGCCTCTCGACGGCGCGGCCACAGCCAATGGCAGAGAGCGGAGCGCGCGTGGACACGCCCCGCGCGGGCTCTGATTGGTTGTTGCTAAGGGAGCGCGCGCCACGCCCACTTTGTTTTTTGAGGGGGGGGGGCGGCGCGGTTAAAAAGGAGGGGGGGGGGGGGAAGTGGCCGGCCCAGAGACATCCAGCAGTGGAGTGACCGTGGCTGATCATGTCCATCATACACACAACATATACATCATACACACATCATACACACATCATACACACATCATATACATCATACACACAACATATACACACACCATACACACATATACACACCATACACACATCATATACTTCATACACATCATACACACAATATATGCACATCATATACTTCATACACACACCATACACACATCATACACACCCCATACACACATCATACACACATCATAGGCGCGCGTGTGTGTAGACGAACACAACCGCCACTCGCCACGAATTAATGATGCCGTCACCATTAAGACTGTGCCAGGCTAGGTGCACTTTGTGTGTACGTGCACGCTTAGACAACAACACACGCACACACTATGCATGCAAGACCATTACGTAGCACAACCGTGAGAGATGACGACACCGGGGATGCCTTCATCCAGCAGTGGATTGATCATGGTTTTGCTGATGATGCTGACACTATGCATGGACACAGTACAAATAAATATAGGCACACACACACACGCGTAGCTCATGCACACCCCACTTACCAACACAAACCTCGACACACTACACACACACACACACCGTACACTCAACTACACACACACACATCTCGTCCACGAGACACACACTGCACATATCACACCAGACGAGACGCTCCATACATCTCACTCACTACATACACAATCCACACACACACACGCACTAAACATCCCACACACCGCTTGTGCACGTGTAGCCGAGACACCCACACACCCACACCAAACCTCTCGCCTACAGCCCACATGCCCCTACAACAACCCTGTAGAACACAGCCTACACATCACACACATATCCACACCATAGTCCTACTAAGCACCCTATACACATGTACATGCCCCCCTTTCTCTCTCGCACACACACACCAAGAAAACCATTCCACACACTGCCACACACACACTTCACACCCACCGCAAATATACCCCGTACCCACTCACGAACACCCCCCCCCCCATCACGCCACGCTTCACAACAACCACCCTCATCACAATTCACACCCCACACCCCCCTCCAGCCCCTCTCTTCTCTCCTTCGCATCGGCCGCATGCGGCAGCCCCTAAGCTCCAGTAAACTAATACTCGAATCGCTGACAGAGAACGAGCGGGCTGATAAGAGCGCGGCGGCGGTGGTGGTTGTTGTTGCTGCTTCTTCTGCTGTGCGTACCGACTTGCTCACAGCACCTGCGGAACACGCCCGGTTACGAAGCACCGCACACAATTAATGATTGCTGCTCTGAATTCTGCAGAACGAGCGCCCGCCATCTCCCGCTTTAATAGCGATTAGCTTAATTGGCATTTAAATGAAGACTCGTTATCTACAGCACACCTTAATAACGCGCTGTAATCCACCTAAGTAACAGCACTTTAAACCATTACACCCGTGGCGTTAATTTTCAACAACCCACAGCCGCGTACGCCAACGCACGCGTGTGTGCTCGCTAACAGCACTTGCCCCTACAGTCTGTTAAGGCTATACGGGGGATCTTTGTCTTTGTGTGAGTAACGCCGTCTGAATAATCGCGCAGCAGAGGCTTTGGCCAAGCGAGCACTCGAGCCACCGATTGGTCCGGCATCCAAATGTGGCGGTCGTGGGGACGCGGCACCGCGAGCTCCGAGTGACACAGGCTGCTGCTGCTGCTGCCGGGCACGGATGTCGAAAGGGGGTGGGGGGTGGGGGGTGGGGGACCCTGGCGTGGGTTTCATCAGCGGGTGGGACCCCAGAGCCCGTCCGGCTCCCCCACCCACCCCCCACTCCTTTACCCCCCACTCCCTTACCCCCCCCCTCTTTACCCCCCCCACCCCCCCACTCCCTTACCCCTCCCCCCACTCTCTTACCCCCCCCCCCCACTCTCTTACCCTCCCACTCCCTTACCCCCCCACTCCCTTACCCCCCACCCCCACTCCCTTACCCCCCACACCCACTCCCTTATCCCACCACCCCCCACTCCTTTACCCCCCACTCCCTTACCCCCCCACTCCCTTACCCCCCACTCCCTTACCCCCCACTCCCTTACCCCCCCACTCCCTTACCCCCCACTCCCTTACCCCCCCCACTCCCTTACCCTCCCCCACTCCCTTACCCTCCCCACTCCCTTACCCCCCCCACTCCCTTACCCCCCCCCACTCCCTTACCCCCCCCCCCACTCCCTTACCCCCCCCCCCACTCCCTTACCCCCCCCACTCCCTTACCCCCCCCACTCCTTACCCCCCCCACTCCTTACCCCCCCCCACTCCCTTACCCCCCCCCACTCCCTTACCCCCCCCCCACTCCCTTACCCCCCCCACTCCCTTACCCCCCCACTCCCTTACCCCCCCCACTCCCTTACCCCCCCACTCCCTTACCCCCCCACTCCCCCCACTCCCTACCCTCCCCACTCCCTTACCGCCCCCCCCCACTCCCTTACCCCCCACTCCTTACCCCCCCACTCCCTTACCCCCCCACTCCCTTACCCCCCCACTCCCTTACCCCCCCACTCCCTTACCCCCCCCCACTCCCTTACCCCCCCCACTCCCTTACCCCCCCCCACTCCCTTACCCCCCCCACTCCCTTACCCCCCCCCCACTCCCTTACCCCCCCCACTCCCTTACCCCCCCCACTCCCTTACCCCCCCCCCCCACTCCCTTACCCCCCCACTCCCTTACCCCCCCCCACTCCCTTACCCCCCCCACTCCCTTACCCCCCCCCCCCACTCCCTTACCCCCCCCCACTCCTTTACCCCCCCCACTCCCTTACCCCCCCCACTCCCTTACCCCACCCACTCCCTTACCCCCCCCCCCACTGCCCTTACCCCCCCCCCTCCCTTACCCCCCCCCACTCCCTTACCCCCCCCACTCCCTTACCCCCCCACTCCCTTACCCCCCCCCACTCCCTTACCCCCCCACTCCTTTACCCCCACTCCTTACCCCCCCACTCCCTTACCCCCCACTCCCTTACCCCCCCACTCCCTTACCCCCCCCACCCCTTACCCCCCCCCACTCCCTTACCCCCCCCCACCTCCTTACCCCCCCCCACTCCCTTACCCCCCCCCACTCCCTTACCCCCCCCCACTCCCTTACCCCCCCCCTCCCTTACCCCCCCCCCTCCCTTACCCCCCCCACTCCCTACCCCCCCCCCCCCCTCCCTTACCCCCCCCACTCCCTTACCCCCCCCCCCCCACTCCCTACCCCCCCCCACTCCCTTACCCCCCCCCACTCCCTTACCCCCCCCCCACTCCCTTACCCCCCCCCCTCCCTCCCTTACCCCCCCCTCCTCCCTTACCCCCCCCCCCCCCCCCCTCCTTACCCCCCCCCACTCCCTTACCCCCCCCCACTCCCTTACCCCCCCCACTCCCTTACCCCCCCCACACTCCCTTACCCCCCCCCACTCCCTTACCCCCCCCAACTACCCCCCACTACCTACCCCCCCCACTCCCTTACCCCCCCCACTCCCTTACCCCCCCACTCCCTACCCCCCCCACTCCCTTACCCCCCCCACTCCCTTACCCCCCCCCACTCCCTTACCCCCCCCACTCCCTTACCCCCCCCACTCCCTTACCCCCCCCACTCCCTTACCCCCCCCACTCCCTTACCCCCCCCCACACTCCCTTACCCCCCCCACTACCCTTACCCCCCCCCCACTCCCTTACCCCCCCCCACTCCCTTACCCCCCCCCCACTCCCTACCCCCCCCCACTCCTTACCCCCCCCACTCCCTTACCCCCCCCACTCCCTTACCCCCCCCCACTCCCTTACCCCCCCCACTCCCTTACCCCCCCCACTCCCTTACCCCCCCCCACTCCCTTACCCCCCCCACTCCCTTACCCCCCCCCACTCCCTTACCCCCCACTCCCTTACCCCCCCACTCCCTTACCCCCCCACTCCCTTACCCCCCCACTCCCTACCCCCCCACTCCCTTACCCCCCCCACTCCCTTACCCCCCCCACTCCTTACCCCCCCACTCCATTACCCCCCCCACTCCCTTACCCCCCCCACTCCCTTACTCCCTTACCCCCCCCCACCCCCTACCCCCCCCCACCCCCTTACCCCCCCACTCCCTTACCCCCCACCCCCCACTCCCTGACCCCCCACCCCCACTCCCTTACCCCCCCACCCCCTTACCCCCCACTCCCTTACCCCCCACCCCCACTCCCTTACCCCCCACTACCCTTACCCCCCCCCACCCCCCACTCCCACCCCCCACCCCACCCCCGCCGCCACCACCGCTGGGCTCGTCCCCCGTCAACCTCGTCGCTCACCGCGCGATGCGTGGGAGGCTCCCGAGGCGGCGCCGTGGACTGTGCACGCAGCCCTGGTGCTGGTGGTGCTGGTGGTGCTGGTGGTGTAGCTGGTGGTGCTGGTGTTGGTGGTGGTGCTGGTGGTCGTGGTGCTGGTGGTGCTGGTGGTGGTGGTGCTGGTGGTCGTGGTGCTGGTGGTGGTGGTGCTGGTGGTGCTGGTGGTGGTGCTGGTGGTGCTGGTGGTGGTGCTGGTGGTGGTGGTGCTGGTGGTGCTGGTGGTGCTGGTGTTGGTGGTGGTGCTGGTGGTGGTGCTGGTGGTCGTGGTGCTGGTGGTGGTGGTGCTGGTGGTGGTGCTGGTGGTGGTGCTGGTGTTGGTGGTGGTGCTGGTGGTGGTGCTGGTGGTCGTGGTGCTGGTGGTGGTGGTGCTGGTGGTGGTGCTGGTGGTGCTGGTGCTGCTGGTGGTGCTGGTGGTGCTGGTGGTGGTGCTGGTGGTGCTGGTGGTGGTGCTGGTGGTAGTGCTGGTGGTGGTGCTGGTGGTAGTGGTGCTGGTGGTGCTGGTGGTGCTGGTGGTGGTGGTGCTGGTGGTGGTGCTGGTGGTGGTGGTGCTGGTAGTGGTGGTGC